TCTCTGTTCAACCACTGGTTCAGAAGCTCAGGTTTGTTTTCAACAGTAGGTGCAGAGTGTGTGTGTGTGTGTGTGTGTGTGTGCACGTGCCTGTCTCCTCACTGAGGGACCAAACAATTCTCTTTATCACTGGACTGATAACAGGCTGCAGCTCTGCTCCCACACACACACACACACACACACACACACAGAGGCCGCTAAATAACTAATTAGCTTTTCTCTGGAGGTGGGGGCCTGGGGTGCGGAGGTGCGGGGGCCGTGGTGGGGGTGACCCATTGCTCTGACAAAGGCGGCTGCATTTTAATGTAAAAAAATGAAATCAATAAAGGCATGGGGCGTCAGGCAAATAGCAACCCCCCCTCACCCCCCCAACATTAACAATTATAGTGATTAACAGTGATACGCTGAGCTCATTATTCACAGAGAGGGAGGGGGGCGAGGAGGAGAGAGGAGAGATAAGCTTCTTTATTGTAGAGGGCCCGTTTCACAGGGTAGAGTCGTTCATCATTTGGGCTGAGGTGTCTGGGGGAGGAGGGGGTGGGGCACCACAATTAAAAACACGCAGTGACCTTGTGACTGGAAGAACCAGCAGAGGTGGAAGAATGAAACCAGGGGAAGAAACATGAGGACAGTGCCCCCCCCCCCCCCCAAAAAAAAAAAAAATCAGTAAAAGAAACATATAGAATCACAAGTGTTGCTCTGGTCAGGTGGGCTTCTTGAACCAGTGGACCAGTGTCCAGGTGGACCAGTGTCCAGGTGGACCAGTGTCCAGGCTTAATGATAAAAAATTGTTATTGAGATTAATCGCAAAACTTCTTGCAATGATTTGTGATTATTGCACTGTTATGCAAAATCCACTAACCAGCAGAAACAGGTTCCTCTTATCAGTGACCAGCAGAACTGCTGGTCACTGCTGGTCACTGCTGGGACTGTGCAGTGACCAGTCTGTCAAGTCCATGTTTCTACTGGATTGCATTGGTGTTTGAACCCACAGTTAGCCGTTAGCGCTACACAGTGCTAAAAGCTAATGCTACTTCTGACCAAAACCGACCAGGGAGGCACATCACTTCACCCCAGATACATACGTATGATTGGACAATAACTATTTGGGGGCGGGGTTTTATTATACATATATAAACCCCGCCTTCAAATGTTATATATATATATACTGTATATACAGAGTGAAAGTGAGCTGTATGGCCCAATATGACTTCATTCTTATATGAATATATATATATATGTATATATATATGAATCATTGTGTTGGATCAGACATTGATCCAGTTTCTTCTAACCCCGCCCCCTCTGTGTGGTGGTGAAAGACTGGTGTGAGGATAAAGGGCAGCTGTGGTAGGTGGTTACAAAGCTCCATTGTCACAGTCTTTCTCTATCTGCTCCATCTTAATAAGAGCAGTGGTCATTTAGAGTCTAAGTCCTCCTCAGCCTTCTCCCTTTAATTATGACGTATTGATCGTCTCGTTAGGTCTAGTTGGGCCTAATGAAATCTATTGTTACCGCTATTTCTGTCTCCCCCCAGCACTCTGTGTGTGATGTGGTCCTGAACGCTTCTCTGTGTGTGTGTGTGCTTCTGCACCTATATATATATATACACATATATATGTGCACACACACACATATACATATATATGTGCAGACACACACATATACATATATATGTGCAGACACACACATATACATATATATGTGCAGACACACACACATATATACATATATATGTGCAGACACACACATATACATATATATGTGCAGACACACACATATACATATATATGTGCAGACACACACATATACATATATATGTGCAGACACACACATATACATATATATGTGCAGACACACACACATATATACATATATATGTGCAGACACACACACATATATACATATATATGTGCAGACTCACACATATATACATATATATGTGCAGACACACACACATATATACATATATATGTGCAGACACACACACATATATACATATATATGTGCAGACACACACACATATATACATATATATGTGCAGACTCACACATCTGTTCCTAAGGTGTTTCATTATCTCTTTATCTGTGTTTGTAACTCCTGGGTTTCAGGCTGTGTAAATCTTAGCTTAGAAAAATCAAACCTCTGTGTGTGTGTGTGTGTGTGTGTGTCTTTTATCTGTATGTGTGTGTGCTTGCATCAACGGGTCCCTGCTCTAAAAGGTGCTGCTGTCACCGTTTATCTGCTGCTTCCTGATTCCCTTCCATTGACTCTCAGCCAATCAATTCACTAAATGATGCAATTATACGCCCCCCCCCCCACTGCCCACCAACATCTCCCCCCTAACACCTCTACATTTAAAGTTGAGAGGTTTATTTTGGATCAATCCAGACCACTTTGTGTGCAAATTACACAATTGCATTGGCGTCCCATTCCTGAGGGCGGCGGCACGGCGGCTCAGTGGAGCCGGTCCTCGGGTGAATGTCTAATGAAGAACCTGTCCTTCAACACACACTGACACAATTACAGAGGTGGACGCACCTTCATCAGGCTGTTCCAGGCTGGTGTCATTCTGAGGCCCCGTCCATGTCCACTGCACCATAGGTCTTCATCCATCACATCAGGGATGTTGGTGCAGAGGCAAAGGCTTTATATGTGCTCATGAACCCACCTAATGGAGAAGTTGTGTAAAACAGGTGGCTGTGATCTTGTGTCGTCAAGAACAGGACGACACGTAATAACAACACAGTGCGGTACGACTATACAGTATCACATACTTCTAAAAAAACTCTAATTCATACATGAATGTATCTAGTGTGTGTACTGGACCATGTACTATGGTACAGGATAATACATTGTAGTACATCTACAAACTCACCTTCGTCACAACTGCATATTTTGAATTCAACCAGATGTTCCCAACCATGAGGTCGAGGACCAGTACCAGGCCGTGGATATTTTGTACTGGGCTGCACAGAAAAAACAAACAGTTTTATTGATTGGTTGATTTTTCATTTACTTTTATTTTGAAAATCCATTTCCTCTATATAAATGTCATGAAAACAGTTGAAGGTAAAATATAAAGAATGCTTGTATTTACATAGTAGTTAAAGAAGAATTAAATCTGCTGCAGTTACTGTGTTCTGTTATATATATGTGTGTGTGTGAGACCTCCACTCACACACAAAAATGGCAATGGCAAAATGGTATTAACTAGTCCCTGGTTTGGGACCAGGTGTGTATCGCTGGTTTTTGGACTCCTGTGGTTCTACCTGGAATCCTTCAACATATTTGTGAATCTGTTCCACTCCAGACCTGCATGGCCCTGAACGCCTCACAGACTGACGGCTCAGCGGTAGTGCAGGGGCTTTAAAGGAGTCGTTCACCCACATCCCTGTCTGACCCTGACCTTTGACCTCTCCTTTATGTCGGCTGCACTTGGTTCACTTTCAAACAGCAGTCAAGTAGAAAACACTGTGATCCCAGGCCATCGCTGCTGCTGCTGCTGCTGCTGCTGCTGCTGCTGCAGAGATGTGTGGAGCACATGAATATTCAAAGCGGCCGAACGGGGGAGAATAACAGGCCGCGGAGGAAAAAAACGTGGCACA